CTACTTAAGGGGGACTATAAGTTCTCGAACTTCTCAGGCGCCTTTTCTTAGCAACGAGACAGGCCTCGTCCAAGACATCAGTGAGACGCCTGGGCGGCATCAGGCTGAGGGGGATGGATTCCTCTGTCATTACCCTAAGGGTCCAAGGACACAAACAATGTGGTTTTAGGGCCCAAGTACTATAATATTCATGGTATTTGGGCCCGAAAACCCTAGTATTTGGGTCCTTGGACCCTTAGGGTTTGGAGCCGGAGGTTTGTCGGGCCTGACGTTCAGGGCTCACGCTGTGAGGTTTGGAGCCGAGGGTTTGGGGGAGTGCTACTGTCTTTTCTTATGAACATGTTTATCGTGTTAGGGTTTATGGTTTAGGGTTTAGGGACAGGCAGTCTGGCATTTAGGATGATGCTTGTTTGGGCTTGGGGTTCAGAAAAGTTGGGGCCCGGAGGGGGGCAAGATTCGGGAGCCAAAGCGCTACATAAAAACCTTGCAGACCTAAAACGCCAGATCCTGAGACCCTAGACGCGAGGATGAAGCTCATGAACTTTGTCCATCCAAGGATTTGCACTGCAAGCTTTCCCGATGAATTTGCCTTGTGCTTCATAAAGCTCAGTCGCTCTTGGCCTGCTGGTTCGACGGGCCGGACGATGACGATGAGGGCCTTCCAGAGACATCAAAAGCGCTTGGCCCAGGAGGAAATCCTCAGGCAAAGGCGTCGCTGCTGGAACGGCGCTTCCAAGGATTTTGGCAGGCGGTCCATCTTTACCCACCTGCCAAACCAAAAAAACATCATCAGGCAGCCAGGCGCATGAGATTCCAAATAATTCCGAGCTCTGCATTGAGCTTGAGTGCCCAGTACGCACAAATTCAACTTTGTTTCTCTCTACTTTGGCTGAGCACATTCGTGGCAAGGCATTCTTCAGTTGGCGGGATTGTGGGCAACGCTGCCTTAAAACACTAAACTCTGGAAACCTAGCATATTAGAACGATGAGAAGGCTATCATGTCGCTCTTATAGGGTCACCCCTAACCCCAAGCCCCCTACTTCTAAGGTTGAAACCATGGGCCCCCCGTATGGGCCCTTAACCCTGGGAGCCTTATATACCAACTATATACCCTATATGTACCCTTAAGGGTCCCTAGAATCCTCCTAAAAGGCCTAAGGCCCCCTATTAGGGGCCCATGGTTTCAACCTTTGACTACTATAGAAAATGAATCCTGGCTAAGACTGACAGCCTGGGTTGGATCCTGAGATTGAGGGTTTAGGGTTTAGAGTTTAGGGTTTAGGGCTTAGGGTTTACATGACATCCTGGGTTTGCCTGCGGGCCGAAGCCAATTCACAAAAATTGGGCCCTGAACTTATGACAAAAGGGGTTTTTCCTCGTTATATCCTAACCCCCCATAGCCCTAAGCCTAAAACCGTAAACCCTAAGTTGGAGGGTCGGACCTACCAAACGTCCTCTTATCATGCCTGAACTCTGCTGAATCCTCAGCGGCCGCACCCCAAACCCCTCAACCACCCTAAACCCTAAATCTTTAACCCTAAGCCCTAAACCCTTAACCTTGAACCCTAAGCCCCTAAGCCCTAAACCGCAAACCCTCATCTGCGACCAAGGCTCGCAAGCCATAGCCAAGCCCAAGATGCTCAGTTGACGAAAAATGAGGCTACCACCCGATGGGTCCATGTACCCAATAACTGGATACATGGATTTTGTGATTTGTGCGCAGGTTGTGGGGAAGTATATGGGTGGTTGTCAAAATTATGGTCCCTTTCTGGATCCCTATTATAATACGGCACCTAGCATTTAGGGTACCCAAAAAGGGACCTTAATTTTGGCAACCACCCGTATGGTTATATGGATTCAGCCAGTTTCAACGGTCCACGGGTGTCTGGGGCATGCCAAGCGCGGAAGCCAACCCGAAAGCCATTGTTGGCCTTACGAGATGCTCTTATAAGCTACCAAGGGCTCCTATGTATTTGGGTCTGTTATCCTTGTTCGGGGTATAGGATTATAATAGACTAGCCAAAAAGGAACTACTTGGTGGGCGGTGTATACCCGCCCGTGGTACG